AAATTGGGGCAATCCGCAATCGAAACAGCTCAACAAATACCAGGTGTGGGGGCCCAATAGTGCTAAAGAAAGCACTGTGCGGCAATGGCTCAATAAATTTCGCTCTGGAGATTTCAGCCTTTGAAGGTGAGCCTCATAGCGGTCGACCTAAAGCAATATCTGACGAGGATTTTAGGGGATTTTGAAGGTTGACCCATCCCAAACAGTTCGAGAGATAGCAGAAGAGCTAGGCCTTGGCAAATCCACTGTTGCAGATGGTCTGGAGCATTGGGAAGGTGAAAAAACTCGACAATTGGGTGCCCCACAATCGGAGTGACCGGCAGGAATCGGCACGTCTCGAGGTTCCTTCTTCACTGCTTTTGCGCAAAAGAATTGACCCGTTTTTGAACGGATTTGTCACCTGTGATGAAAAATGGATCATGTATGATAACAGGAGACGTTCCGGACAGTGGTTGGATTTGGAGGAACCACCGAGGTAATTTTCAAAGCCGAACCCTCGCGAAAAAAAAATTCTGGTCAGGTTTGGTGGTCATCGGCTGTTGTAATCCACTATAACTTTTCATCACCAGGCCAAACCATCACAGCAGAACCCTACTGTGAACAAACCGACCAAATGTACCGAAAATATTGTCAGCTGCAGCCAACACTTATCAAAGAAAGGTCCGGATTCTTTTGCATGACAACGCCCCCACACGTTTCACAAATCACTATCCATAAATTGAACGAATTGGGAGTTGAAGTTCTACCTCACCCACCATATTCTCTAGACCTTTCACCAACCGACTGTCACCTTTTCAGACATTTTCAGAACTTCCTTGCTGAAAAATACTTCATCAATTAAGACCAGGCAAAAAGACCTTCGCAGATTTCGTGGTGGATCTCGACCACCATTTTTTCCTTATGATGGATTCTCGACTGCTCGTGGCCACCAGTGGCAAAAGTGTGCTTTGATTCGAATGGTGCTTATTTGGATTAAATCCGATGAGTGTTAAGAAAGTTATGATCGTTTAAAGTTAAACACCCAAAACGCTAAGAACTTTCCGGACAACCTAATAGCTCGTTTTCGGGGCGAGTGCGCTATCCGTTACGCCACCATGGGTCTTTTAGGCGGAGGTGTGTAGTTGACAAGTGGCGAGCTTACCACTCGTGCGCGGATGTTTCGAATCCCGGGTCGACACCGCCCAGGCCAACCAAGCCTTCTACCCTCCGGGGACGGTAAATTGGTACCAGATTCGTCTGGGAGGATAAAACACTGACTTGTACATCGGCTGGCCACCGCAAGTCATTGTATAGGCCACATCGCATTCAATAAGCCACTACGATTCTGAATGGAAGTAGAAATGCGTGCGCATCCACAAAAGGGATTGATCAAACGGCGAAAGTATTTATCCTTTTTATCTGTATAGTAGCCTTTTGCCACCACTGGTAGCTCCTATAGGCAGGCTGTGGTCTTCAATAAAAAGACCTATAATTCCTACGAGAATCTGCAGGTCTCCCAAGGATGACTGTGCAAGCATCGCTAAGTTGCATCTGATGCCCTCACGGGGTCGAGCTGTCCCTACAGTGGTTTTCCGTTGCTATTATTCAACCTCTTTGTTTTATAGCTAGGGCTATAACGTTTTCTTTTTGAACTGGGCAATTTTCAATCCGTATAGAAAGGTTTTCAAAACATTGTGCGTTTATCTCCATACGTACGCTGCTGAGCGTTCAATCCACAATATTTAATACAGAAAAGGTTCAAATGATTCGAAAAGTGACCGGTTTGATTTGAAAACCGCCTATCTTGCTTTGGAAAACAATCAGTTTGGCTTCAAAGAAGTATTGTTTGATCGGGGAAGTGAGCAATTTGGAGGTAACATACTTCAGGCTCCATCCTCCAGAAACTGCAAAAGCTATTGTTGCGAACGCAGTCCGTTCGATGCCACACAGTGTTCGACTGTGGATGAAAACAGCTGAGATCGAGACTGACTTGAAAGCAAAGAAAAAGGTGCGCTGTCAAACTGTAGCTTTCTTGGGAGCAGTTCGTATATGATTTCTTTCATTTTGTAGGTGTTCCGTAAAGCTTTGGAACAAATCCCTACGTCGGTTCGTCTTTGGAAAGCAGCTATTGAATTGGAAGAACCAGATGATGCACGTGTTTTGCTCACTCGTGCGGTAGAATGCTGCAGGCAAGTTTCAACTACCGATTGCTCTTCCGATATTTACCTATTTATGCTTATTTTATCGGTGGGTTGCTTGCTGTATTTTACATACTGCTTTGATGTTTAGTTCGAGCACTGAGTTATGGCTAGCTTTGGCTCGCCTCGAGACGTACGAGAATGCTCGAAAAGTTCTCAACAAGGCTCGTGAACACATTCCAACCGATCGTCAAATTTGGCTTTGCGCAGCACGCTTGGAAGAAACTCGTGGTCAGAAGGACATGGTCGATCGAATAGTTCAGAAGGTATGAGCGCGCGAGTGTACTGTTGGTTCCTCCATTAAGCATTGTTCACAGTCTGCGGCCCAGCGTTTCTCTAGAAGGAAACGCTCCGGCGAAAAGCTTTCGATACGTATCGATTGGCGGTTGGGCGAAGAGTCTGGCGGTTGCGCGAAACGGTTTTGATACGTATCGACGGGCGGTTCGGCGAAGCGGTTGGGCGAAAAACGCTAGCCCGACCACCCTGGCGTTTTTCTCTAGGGCGGAGCCTGCGAAATCGATACGCATCTATTGCTTTTCGCCCAACCGCTAAACCGCGGCGGTTCGTCGAACGGGGCGATATGCGATTCGATTCTCCTATCAATATTTTTTGCTTTTCGCCGAACCGCCGTTTCGTCAGGGTCTCAGACTGTGAACAATGCCTCACATGATTAGTGTAAGATTAATATGGTGAGGGTTAATGTGACTGCTTGAACTTTTTGCTATGGTTCTGGACGCTATCGTAGTTACACGGAGGACAGAAGGGAGGATTGCTCGACCGCTCCTCTCTATTCCTTACTCAAAAGGCTCAGGTCAGAGTGAGGATGACCATTGTCGGTGGGTTATAGTAGCACAGAGAAGCCTTGATTAGGGTAAGAATACCGAGGTGCTGGCCGATAGTTCCTCCTACACAGCCCTCCCCCTAAGTTAGCACCCGGTTCACTAAAGCATGCCACTAAAGGACCGTGACCGACAGAGCATCGGGAGGTGCGAAGCTTTTGATGAAATGGCGAATGGGCTTGCCCAGGAGCGGGTCTGCCCTGGGCTAAGCCGCCGAAAGCGCGCTCATACTTCAGTCGCGATCGGCTCCAGCGATAGGTTGGCGCCAGTTGCGCGTAGCGCGCTCTACCTACGATCCAGTCGCCGTCAACCGGCGCCAACCACCTCGCGCGCGATTTTATCGTGTCGTATGAACGCGCTCTCACCATTTGTCAAATGTTAGGGTGTGCGAAGTGAAAATAGTCGCGGAAGGCCACGTAGGTGAGAGCGCGACAAAA